AATAATTATTATTGGGAAGTACTATGAGTATGAATTTAAAGACTCTATTTGAGTAATTGTATAGCGAATAAGATTATTAATTGAATTTAAAAATTGGTTAATGATTTCGAAATCCTATTGTTGTATTCGGAATTTTGCATAAAAAATTTAGAAAAGCATTCGTATTTGAAGATAATTTGAGTTTTGAAAGAGAAGAGAATTTTTTTCGTTGCTGTCGTCATTTTTGCTCTATGATTATTTGAAATATTTACTGTTTTCACTGCAAAGTTTTAAGTTTAAAAAAGAGAGAATTAATCAATTATCATTTCTCTTTTAATTTGCTTATATTATATACTGTTAAATTTTACTTTTAATATCTTATTAAACAGTTGGCAATAGAAGTGAATAAACGGAAACTACTACGAATATAATTGTACTTGCTAATAATTCTGTGCCATTGTCGATCCCTGTCTTACATACAAATAAGGCATAACGGGCCTATCAGGGTAGTGGATTTCGTAGAAATACTAGGAAGAATGCTGTACGGGAGAGCGAATTTATTATTCTGTTATTCTGAGTTTAATTATGATCGCACTTCAAAGTGATTTAAGTGATCGCATATACGAATGAATAAATTATCCAAAGAGTAGTTATAAGGCCTGCAAAATCGATGATTTATATTTAAATTCTCTTGTACAAGTTTAGTTTAAAATCATCCATAAGGGTTTAAAATCCCATAAACAGAATACAGTTCTAATATTTTTTTTTAAATTCAAATTTATGGGAAGAGAAATATGATACCAACCAGTTGATTTTCAATACAATGATGTTACAAACTGAACAATAACCATAAAATGTTTTTTAAATTACTCCAAAATATCAAAAATAAAAAAAAGGTAAAACAAGAGGATGAAATGATACGGCAAGAGAATTAAACAAGAAAAAACCAAAAATTCTTGAAATCATGTTGAACAATTTTTTCCTTTTGTTTTGTGTCTTTATTTTTTTGTCCACATTTTTATCTTCGATTTCAATTTTAATTTTTTGGTTTTTGTCCTTTTATTTTGAATTCTGTTGTTTTTTAAACATGGTATTTTTTTTTCCATGCATCGCAGTTTTCTGAATAAAATTTTTGTAGTCCGTGTGTTGTTCCATGAAAATCAATAAATTCTTATAGTTAAAATATCGTGTAAATTCACTTTCTTGTTTATAATAAGTTTCAAAGTTTTCATTATTTAACAAGTTGCATGTAAGTATTTTTACTAACTAGGTTTTTGTAATGAAGAAATTCAAATGGAATTGTACAAAATTAAATAGATTTTAATTTTTAGTCTTTTGGTTTGCTTTGATTTTAGTTGTTATTTTACTTTCTTATTTGTAAACCATTTAGAGAAGAATTGATAAAAAAAGAACCTTCTTTAGAATGTTGTCTTAAATTCAAAGATGATCTTTATTTTTGCAATGGTATTCTTATTTGAAATTAACTGTGTTGATACATTCTGCTTATTGGAAAGTGAAACATTCTGGCAAATATTCTTGTCTAGGCCATGATAAGGGAAGGAATTGTGAATGATGCAAGAATAAGAGGCGGTCCGAGAACGGATATGATAGAAATAGAATGGAAAAGGTGTTGCTGCTGTCTGAGCCAACCATGGTTGCAGGCCTAAGTTTGGAATTTTGAAAGCAGAAGGATTTATAGGTCCATACAAACTTGGAACAGAAAATATTGTTCTTTTCAAGTATTGGCAATATCCTCACGATGTCCTGAATTGCAGTCATCTACTCATGGTTGTGTATACCCAATAAATGTGAATGTCTTGACAGTATGAACCACCTATGTCTCCTTTTCTACGTGAGAATAATTTTTAGACACTTTCTTATCTTTATAAGAAAGAGTCCAGGAAGGTTATCAAACGCCTCGATTCTATCCAAGAACACTATCAAATACTTCAGTATTTTAACCGTTCCTTGTTGCTTGTCGTCGTGATTCGATTATAAATAGAAGATTTTCTCCATCTCCTTCATTTTTTAAGCTTAACAACTTCAGAGTTAGTAGCATTAATTTTTAGTTTATCCTAAAATTGTCTTGTACAAAATAATCATTGTATACATACAATAAATTTATTTATAATTTATTCATTTGGAATTAAACTACAATACCATTACGTATTATGTCTGATATTAATTGTAAAATGGAAAATCTATACCTATCTGTATGTACTTATATTTTAATTGAATTAATCAAGCTCCCGAACGGAATATTTTAACTAAATGTACATTGTCACTACTGTTTTGCTATGCATTCAATACGAATATTTCGATATCAAATAAAATTTTAAGAGGAAAACCACAATATGTTAAGGGGTTTTAAATTTAATTCAAAATTTTTGTTTACTCTTATTTTTGTTATAATAGTTGGTTGGTTAACTTTTTGCATATACATATATGATTATACTATACCATCCATATGGGTGAAATATATGGGTATAGTCATCGACTACAGGCATCATAATATCATTGAGAACAACAGAACAGAAGTGAGTATAGAAGTACAAAAATCACAATGAATTCATGTATGCCGTTTCTGTAAAGGAAATCGATACAAATGGTTTTTCTATAAAGTTTTGTATAAGTTTGCATTCAATTTGACTTAGTGAGTTTGTAGATTGGTTAGTTGGTTGGTGGTGGTATTGGCTTTGAATTGAAAAATGCAACAATAAAATTAAAAAGGTGTTTTTTTTTTTATATTTTTTTTTTTACAGAAAACTGTCTTAAAAAAAGAAAATATTGACAGCATAAAAATTTCAGGCAACACAAAAACAAAAAAAAAAGGATAGTCGAATTGTATGTCAACGTCAGCACTGAACGTCGTACGTATAAGCTTCTTTACTTATTTCTTTTGTCATTTTTCTTGGTTATGTTCGCATGTTGTTAATTCATTTACTATCAAATGTTGTTCGTGTTCTTGTTCAATTTTTAATTTTATTAGTTATGGGCGATAATTAAATTCAGAGATAAAACAAAAAGCACAACACGAAAAGAGCACAAAATCAAAAAAAAAACAAAAAAATTGCACCTGCTAACTGAGAACGTGTTTCATATAAACTGATGTCATTTTGGTTGGATGATGTTATAAATTGGGAACAGAACAAAAAATCTTACTTCTTTTAAATTGTGCGCGATTTCGATTTAATATTTTATCTTCTATTGCATGTTTTATATCTTGATGGCAAGAAAAAATACAATTTGATTGAGTCAGGATAAAATATCATAGCGGTTGATTCATCAATATTTATAGCACAGCGATAAAACTGAATTTTATTTTGTTTAAATTATTCTGGAATTAATTTATCACAAAAAATAGAGAAGAATTAAAAATATCTTACTGAATTATTTATAATTCAAGATAAAAAGGATTCTACATTATTCTACTGCGATTTATGTTTTAGCTTTCAAGTCATCCGAATTGCAAAAGTAAGTAAGTTACTGCAATATATTTGATCTGTTACTCACTCCGAATTAAATTAATTTCAGAATTTTACAAAATCTAATGGAATGGAATAAAATCAATGAGGTTAGATTATAGATTAAATTGAAAAGGTGGGGATGAACGAGCAAAATGAGTTACTGGAGCCTAAACGGCTTACTGTAACATGCTACGAAATCATAAGACCTCCACTAAACTTATCGCCTGAAAACATAGATACCCAAAATAACCAATTTCCAAAATTCAGAATCCTCAAACACGGAATCCTGTAGATATAAAATCCGCTTCCTGCCCAACCGTGTACATTAAAAAGAATGTATACATCGCCGATTTTTCTTTCTCATTGTAGAATTTGCACAATAACGGATTACGGCAACTCCCAACTGGTACTAATTGCTTTTCTTAACTGGTATTGAAGTAGCTCGATCATGTGATAGCTTGACAAATCACAAACTCACAGAATCATAAAAAAAAGTCAGGGTCGTAAACTAGTGTATCTTCGATACGTTTCGTTGTCGATTCTCTTTTTGCGATATGTTCTTACATGGTGGATGACAGAAAGTCAAGACGACTTCATTTTTTCAACCCAATTGCTTCGAAATAATATCAGCCAACTTTACAAAATTTTGTAGGTAGATTAAGTTTTTCTAAAAATATTAAAAATTTTACTTATATACCCTAATTAAAATTTAAGATTTTATACTAATACTTTTCTATTATATTATTTCTTGGCCTACTCAAGCTTTAAATTGATTTCATTTCTATATTCTCAGATACACACATAAATTATGCTTTCATAAAAATAAGAAAATTAAAAATATGGTAAATTTCAATTAATTCCAACATAACGTTTAACAACCACATTACAAATCGTATTACTGTTATAACACTAATAAATACTAGTAAATCAACATAATTTTTAAATTTTACATTAAGAAGTCGAACAATAACCAGTTTCTTATTGAATAGGTAGAATTAATTTTTTGTTTCAAAATATTTGTGTTATATGCAGCGTTAAGTATCAACATAACACTTTTGTATCTCTTATACACATGTAATACATATTATGTTATATATACTTTTATGGCAATGCTATAATCTCATTTGTTTTATATGTAGGTATTATAGGTATGTATATATGTATATGTATTTTTTAAATTGTGAGAATTATTTTATAATCCGTATAACACAAACAATTTATTTTTACGCTCAAATTTATACAAAATAATTAATTAAAATGACATATGAATGGGATATAATTCGATACCAATTATGGGAATTTTGAGATTATCAATTAAAATAGATTTGAAATTAAGAATAATTGAGTTATTACAGATTTTATATAAGTAAATAGTTGATAAGTTAATTTTGTTTTACATTAAATTATGACACTTTAAATGTTTGTGTTGATTTTTCAGATAATATAGCGTTATTTATTCTATAAACTGGGTGTATAGAAAATTGTTATACAAATTGTTCAAATTTAAAATTCTAAATTGCAAAACAATAAAAAAAAATACAAAAGTTCACTCACCTTTTCTTTATTATTGTCAGAAATATTTGGTGGTCCAAGTGATATTTTACCATCCGAGATTTTAATAAATCGCGGTGGTGCAACATCTTGCTGTTGTTCATCCCTATCATCTTCTGCAGTTTTAATGACCGCATCTAGTAAAGGCCTATAAATAAAAAATAATAAATAATTAAATTTTTTTTTTATAAAATATTAATTACAAATTTTATGTAAATTAATTTTTAAATAAAAGAAATTCGTACATAAATTTTATTACATTTAAAAAAAAAAAATTTTTTTTTTTGTTTGCTCGTTCGGTAATTAATTATTTGCATCCTATTCATTGTACTTAATTTATGTACCTATATGTATTTCATTTGATGACAACATTACAACATAAATCAAGGCTTATAAGAGGCTCGAAAGTTGACTAATTTAAATTTTAAATCTATGTGGTGAAAATTGTACAATATTTTCATTATAATTATTGTTATGCTTGTGTTACGCGCTTATGAATACAAGTGCTATAACAATTTTTGTATTATGTAAGTATTTTCTGTAATATAATGTTTACATAACAATATAATGTTATAATAAAATTGACTATTATGTAATTGTAAAATATAATTGCAATCAAATTATGTACATATTTCGAAAATGCAAATGAAATTGGAATATTGTTTTTGATATTAAGGACATTTTTTAATTTAATTTTTTATTTTATTGAAATAAATAACAATAAATTTTTTTTTATTTATATTGTATAATTTTACATTGAATTATTGTTAAAATTTAATTAACTGAATAATCTGTTAATTATAGCTTGTTGAAAATAAAAATAAAATTTTAAAATAGAAACGAATCCGATGTATCGACCTAAAACTTCGACTAATTTTGAAAAGAAGTAAACCTTTCCACATTGAAAATAAAAATGAATCATTCTTATTGCTATTTGGTTACATTTTATTGTAAAAATTCAGATAATTACATAAAAGTATCATACAACTAGGCAAGAACCCATTGGGGATAAGTAATTCGTACTATACATATATATATATGAGACATGGGGTGTATGAATCTAATCGATTTTTTGATGGGTGGAGTGTCTTTCAGTCGGAAGTTTTTGCCATATTGAATTCATGCGAGATTTTGAGGGATCTCTTTGTTGTGGCTAGTAATGTCGAAATAATGACTGACACCCGGCCCGCGATTTTGGTTCTAAGGTTGCCTAGGATATCCTCGAAATTATGCTGTTGTGAGCTGTCGTGGGTCAATGCTGTTGTGAACTGGCGGGGATGTGCGATTGCCATAGTGCCACACTTCTTTTTGTACCCATAATATAGCGAGAAATGAGCGTATAGATAAACTGGCTTGATGTGTACGCTCAATGACGGCCTGGAGATCATATGGGGTGGTGATAGCAAAACGGCGTGTTTGTGCTAATTGGGGTACATTGGGCCTGCTACACGTCAACCAATGCACAAAACAAACATTTTTTTTCAATGAATTTCAACAAATAAACCTTTTAGGTGTTTATGAAATTCTCTTATGTTACATCTAGTACGTACTTATGATAAAATTAAAATCCGAATTCAATTCACCTGATTCCAATGCATATCAGAAAAATTCTATTCGAATTAAATGCAATAAATTGTAAATGAACACATTTTTTTTTTCTTCATTTCAATAGGAAAATTAAGAAATATAAAAATTAAGTTTACAAATAAAAATTTGTTAGTTGCAACACCCCAAAAAATAATGCCATAGTAAAACACACATAAACTCACTTACATTTATGAAGAATAAATTTAATAATGAAATTAAAATGTTACAACTAATTTTATTTTGAAAAATACAAAATTATAGTACAAAACTTTATTACTATTATTGAATTTTTATTTGTTTTTAGTGTTATAGAATCATAAAAGCTTGCAATCTAAGTTAATATTACTATATATTTGCCTATATATATCGAGAAACGGAAACGCCTACAGTAGTATCGGGAAAAAAGACCATTATCATGATCATAACCACTTTTATTGTATGTGTACAAAATAAAAACAAAACTTCACTTTATATCATTAAAACTCCTAGATATTGCAAATACAAAATTACAAATGAATGTTTTGTTCGAGGCGGAATAAAAGAGAAGGTTATCTCTTTCTTCACTATTCTAGTTTCACATACCAACATTATTAATTTATTTGAATGTTGATTCAAATGTTCTCTCGAATTAGACAAACCTGAAAAGCAAATATAGATTTCTATTTTTTTGTGTTATGCAATAAAAAAAAAAGCGGGATAGAATTCTAACCTCACTTTGTACAAAATACATAAAAAAAGGCATATAAACCTAGTAAGAATGAGATAAAATATGATTACATGTTGTTATCTTTCTTTATTCTATATATATTTTGGTATACTCTGAAATGCTAGATTGCTATGTTTGCATTTTATTTGATTTGCTTTAGTGTTTTCAATATCTTACTTGCTTTCAGCATTCAAATTATAAAAATGTAATATTGCGAAATTGTATCACTTTATATTTTGAATAATATTCACACAGATCATAATAATCACCTAGATATTTTTTGGTATATATTGTTCTGCTTTGAATAAAAGAAGTTGGAAGTACAAAATCCTGGTGTACAAATTTTTGAGTATTATGTTATGTGGTGACCATTTCCCTCATCTTCTATATATAACAAAATTATATTTGGAGCTTACGCATCAGTACACCTATCACGCGGGAAAGTCCACCGATATGACTCTGCCGAACCTCACTTCTAAGATCGAGAAGTCCTTGGATATATAGGGGTAAAAAAGAGAATGAAACTAATAATTCCTTAGCCAGGGGAGGATTGAACTGTTCCAGAGCCTTAATAAAGACGAAGGAAACTTTCTGAGACCAGAATCATTTTCCGGAATTGGATTACAAACTCTTCATAGTGAACTTGGTAAGAAGAGGAAAAGGCACAAGCCAAGTCGATGTATAAGTTTATAATACTGAACAAGAACCAAATGAGAATTTTTATCAAATGAGAACAAGAATCAAATGAAATCACTGAAGTGAGGTTTCCATTTATCAAAAGAAGAGAAATACTAAAAAGCTACACATTCGCAACGACGAAATTCGAATCTGTCTATCTATGTTGGGAACAAGGGGCAAAATACCCTTACTGCTGTCTACGGTAAGTGGTAAGTAATGTAATCTGTAATCTACATCAGGCGATATTTAAAAGTTTCAAATAACAATTAAGGCGTTACTTCCAATAAGAAACAGCACTAACAAATGATAATGAACAAACGGTCACTATAAAACTACAAAATACTTATGTTTTTTGCACTTTGTCATAATAACAAACGATACACATAAGTGTATGCACTGTCATTTATAAAGATTATTTCCATATTCATCTGGTTTTTATGTGTACTCGTATATTGAACATATAGTAGATACAAATATTTGCATTTGCATTATTGTCATATAAGATTAGTGGCGTATACTTATGGTAGAGGTAAAAATGCTCTATATACTACACTCTGTATATATATACATGTTATATTTATATTGATGGCAATCTGAAGTGTTATAGTATTCTCTTTTTACATTATATAGGCTGGCATACAATTTTCAACTTCTATTTTATATTTTTAATGATTATTACACTATATACACCCATAGATTTGGCTCAAATAATGTAGATATAAAATATCAGCTGGAATGCAATTTAATACAACCCAGGGCGTTTGAGTTCTACATAATATCAATATAAATGTGTTATATGTGTAAATATGGACAAATGATAAAGTGGTACTTTTAAATCTGCAACTAAAATGGTTATTGCTCTCTCTGTATAAGGTATACCTAAGAGAACATATAAGACAATAAAAAAATTATAATCTGTGTCAAAACAGTGAAAACTTGACCTGTAATTTGTGTGTTCATTATTTGGTTTAGAGGTTTTTTTTATAACATATTTGCTTTTATTTACAAGTACGTATTTATATACGTATATGTTTATTTGCAGGTATATAGTCTAGATTTTATATAAGGTGTAATTTAAGAGAAAATAGATTTGTTTCAAAAGAGATCTTTTGAAACAAAAAATTCTATTTTTGCCTTAAAAATAATATAAGAATGTGTTATACAAGATTCCATATTTTGAAGTTTTATGAAATATTCTAAATTAAAAGTACCTGTTGAATTAAGTATGTTAAAATTGTGACAATCTAATCTAAAGGCATTTCTATATAAATTTAAGTAAACTAATTGTTTGGTTTCGTACTAACTTGAATATTGAAGCCAAGTTTTAATATAGAAGTTAAAAGTCTTCCAGAATTATAAAATAATCTAAATTCTTTAATGTAGTAGACCAATTCACATCTTCAATTCCCTAAATAAACGCGTCATCTGGTATGCAGCTGTTCAAAATTCTGGAATTTGAAAATGGAACCCTGCAACAGTATGCAAAATATCAAAAATAATGAAGATAATTGTAGGCACACAGTTTGGCACATTAGTTATCCCTCAAAGCATATATTCGCTGGACGAAATGTTTGAAGAGTATATTATGTGGAAACACGTGCTGCTTACATTATTGCTTACAATTGAACATAAATACACTATAATAAATTATAAGAATATGTATTGAATAATGAAATAAATCAGTCTTGAAACAGAACTTAACTAAAGAGGTATTTTAACTACATCTACACTTGCTGTTATAATAATATTTTAATTCCTACAAGTCACGCTTGGAACTGAAAATTTCCGTCTAATGTGATCCGCGCGTGGCAATTTCAATATTATATATTTAAAATGAATAACCTGATGCCGCATATATTAACAAATAGTGGTTCCTCATGAGATATAATTTGTTTTGAATTTCGCTATATTAGAGTTTGCTTATTTTCTGAGAGTTATAGTTGAATTATTGAAATTATACGGGAAGTACCATTTAACAGAATACCAAAATTGACTCCAACTGAGTTTGATCCAACTATTTAATTTCAACTAAGTTTATATTGCTCATTTAACTAGCTGGTTTATCAGGAGATGATTTTGTTTTGTTCAGAACTTATTAAGATCCACTTTTCCGAATGCTTGAATAGTTGTAGAACAAAATTTAAACGAGAGTAAATGCAGGGTGCCCCTTATTATAT